GCGGTGGGTTAAACCATTAGGGCTTACACTTTTTATGACATTATCAAATACATACAGTATCGTAAAAACCATAACTGATTTGACACAATACTGGAGCGTTCATCTCTAACCAGTGAGTCGATTCCGAATCTAACGATAACTCAGTTGTCGACCGATTTCTTTTTCATTTTTATTCACAACACTTGCTTCGAACGTCAAACAGTCCTATTCGATACCGAACCGAAATGACGTCACACCCGTACGATTCCTCGAGCTTCTCGACCGGCAAAGGCTAAAAACGTTATTCAGAACACAGTTAACCAATGAAAGTTACCGAACGTTTTACAAAGCAAGAATGTAAAATGGAAATCTCTTTTTTTTAAATAAAGTGTGGATTTTGTCCAATTTTATTAATTTATTTTAATGCATTCCTACTTTGGGCCTTTAAAGTCTTAAAAATGTATATAAAAGGATTTTCATTTTTCTTATAATCTCTTTCACCGACTAACTCCGTAAACGCTATTAATAATAATAATAATAATAAATTCTTTATTTTCTTTAAATAGCTAATTAAAATGGTAAAAAGTATAGCAAAAAGTACAATATACACAGAGTATTTTGACTGCTGGTACTTAAAAAAGAAAACTTGAGCTTAAGTACCAGCATCCTTCCAGTGTCACAGAAGTACATTTTGAGTAATTTACAAAGTTAGTTAATACAAGCTACATGTAATGAAATTATTTTATAAAAATAGCAAAAACTTTGAGAAACAATAAAATTAACAAATTGTCAATGTGCGATCTGTCAAGTTCAAAGATTGTAATAATGGTGTGAGATGTATGTGTGTTTTTGTGAGAGTGTGTGTGTGGTGTGTGTGTGAGTGCGTGGATGTGTTTGTGTGTGCGTGTGTGTATGTGTGTGTATGTGAGTTTTCTTGAGTGTATGTAGTATATTAATATATTAATAGATAAAAATAAATAGATATTTGTCATGTAGTTGTGTTTTTACAAAATAATTATTAACTTTATTTAATTGGATGTAGAAGATTCTCCGTATCATCATATGAGAGTTGGAGAAGCCACCTAGATACAATTTTTTTACAATCATATTTATGTTTTTTGTCAATTGCCAATAGATTATTCACTTTATTATATAAGAAACTATTGGATAATAACTAATTCGGAATGTTCTGAATAGCTCGGAAAGCGCCCTTCGATTCGAGAATGATATCCAATTGAACAATTCGGTTAAAATATCGAAGCGTTCTGAGTCGGGGTTCTAATACAAAATTTGTATATACTAAAAAATTAAGCTACACTAACAATGAATATATATATGAAACAACAAGTGGGTATTTCATTAAAAGCAGTTAAACTAATTAATACACCGAAGCGCTAATTAAATTATACTAATAAAAAAATGTTTTTCTCTGCAAATATTTTGTTTGTATAAATGCGTACTAATTTATATTCTATGTGTTTATGTGTTATACTCTGCGAAATGATTCTAAGGGCTCATTTAGAGTGCAGGCGCGGGCGCGGCGGCGGGTGCGCGGGTCTTGATGGCTACGAGCGGGTAGATCCACACGTCGAAATCGCAAACAGATGCTAGACGCTAGATCAAGCACTGCGAAGAACAAACAAACACGGGCGGACCGAGGCAACATCTACCCGCGATTCGCGCGCGGCCATTGTGAACGCAACGAGTAGTGTCTACGTACATTTGATTTACACGCACCCACGCTCGCCGCCACTCTGAATAAGGCCTAATATTTGTATATGCGCTGAATTAACCTTTTTATCTTCTAAATTTTCTGGCTATAGTTGTGTTACATTCATATCACAATACCTACGACATTTTTACTTAAAACTTTATAAATAAATGAATATTAGACAAAATCACATACGTTTCTCCGATCCCGAAGTAAGTAACTAAAGTACTTGTGTTGTGGAAATGGGAAACAATGACTGTACCACAAACTTTTAGACCCGAGATAATAAGAAAAGTTAGTTTTTCTGCATTGACTCAGAGATAGAGAGACCATGGAGATTGTCAAATATATATTATAAAACTAAGTCCCTAGACAAATGACTGGAGTCAAACTTTTATGGAATGATTCCCAGTAGCATTTCACCGGTATCGGGAATGACGTTTTTCCCGGAATTCCCGAGAACGGAAACCCGGGACCGAAACCCTATTCCCAGTATAATTTAAGAAGCTTCACATAATAATAATAATTTATCTTCTAGGCCATGGTGGAGGTAAAAGTAAAATAAACATCCGAAATAATAATAATAATAATAAATTTATAAGACTCGTAAATATCACGACGACGTCACATATGACATTTCTTTTAAATTAATTTACGACGTCTAGTTCTAACACAATTAATTGCAATTTGTCAAGAAATCCCGGAACTCAGGTTATTTTTAAATTGTATAGTTGAAAACGTATGAAGCTTGGTACATTGGGCCTAATCGCAAGTGGCATTGAGTTCAGTTTAAATCTTATGTGTTAAAAGATCCGACAACAAGCACATAGAAACATTTGTGAGGTCCGCTGGTTGGTTCCGGCTAAGTTGGCATTGTTGGAATCCGGCCGGATCGAAGGAAATTTTTTCTGAGAGTTCGATGTTTGTATTAATAATTATAACAAATAAAGAAAAGTTAATTTCAATAATTAGTCCTACTGCAAATAGAATCCGAGACCGCCTCATCTAAAGACCACAGTGTTAACCACTGGACCACAGAGGTCGTCAATTAATTATTATTATTCAGTATATATACTGAAGGTATGATTATATTAATTGACGACCTCTGATACCTACTTTATTTGAACTTTCCCTAATACATATTTTAAGCCTAATTATTCAATTAAAAAACAATATTTTGACTTAATTCTGTATAATTTTATAAACCAAACGTCAACAAACCCATTTTTATCTCCAAAGAGTTTATGTTTATTATTTATAAAACAAAAAAATATGACACGGAGGTCCCGGGTCAATTCCCGGACTGGGAGAAATATTTGTATAGCCTACATTTATTTCTAGTGAGTTTGGGTATGGTTGTCTATGTATGTGTCCATGGCACCCGCGATACAGGATTTCCCTAGTGCGGATCTATGAGAGTGTGCGTCGGCGTAAAAGTGCTTTTTTAACCGATTTCGAAAAAAGGAGGAGGTTCGCAATTCGACTTTATGTTTTTTTTGTATGTATGTTACGCGATAACTCATTTGTGAACCGATTTTGATGATTCTTTTTTTGTCGGAAAGAGGGTACATTAGAAGTGGTCCCATTTAAGTACTCCACCTCTAAGGGTGGCAAACTAGGGCATGACTGATTTTTGAGGTCGGTTTTTTATCCATAACAGTTTCAGTGCCACTCAGAGTAAGTCGCAAAGATCTTACGGGCACTGCCACTGTGCCCGTCACCCTGAGACACAGGTTGACAAGTCCCATGTGCCTGTAATTTCACCAGTCTTACCCTTCGAAACCGGAACGCAGTAATGCTCATATTGCCGATTGGCAGCAGAAATAGGTAAGGTGGCAATACTTTGTAACACTTTCTCAAGGAGCTCTAAAAATCTGCTACTAAATCATATAAATACATGTGAAATTTTATAACTCACCTATTTAAAAATTAAATAGATCTTTCCTGAAACTGACGCTGTCGGAATGTGTGAAAAATTTGGTAACCAAATTTAACATGGAAGATTGTTACAAGGTAGCAACTGCTATGGAGGTCAACTGTAGTCTGGCAAAAGTAATTTTTATTAAAAAAAGGAACCGACTTCAAACTTTGTATATATGTTACATACAAACTGAAACTAACTCACAGATGGCGCAACGGCAAAACAATCTTTAAAACCAAAAATACATAGAAGAATTCGTGAGGTCCGCTGGTTCGTTCCGTGGCTTAGTTGGCATAGCGTCTGGCGTGTGTTTCTCTAGGGCGTCTGGGATCCGACAGGATCGAAGGACGTGTTTGATCTTTGTATTAATAATTGAAACTAAAAAGTTACCGGAAACTGCGCGAAACCGGATTTATCTCCTCGTTTGTCACACAGGTGGTATATTTTCTTCAAATTTAAATAGGGCCGTAACTGAGGTACCCTCCTTCCAACAAAAAATCAATCATCAAAATCGGTACATAAATGCTAGAGTAATCGAGTAACATACACACAAAAAATTGTCGAATTGAGAACCTCCTTTTTTAAAGTCAGTTAAAAAGCAGAAACAATCACGCGGTTTCCGAATCAGAGGCTCATTGGAAGTTTGATGTATCTAATGTAACGTTCTTAGGAATGAAACTATTTTTCCGGATTTAAATCGCGTATATTTGTTTTTTCAAACAAACCGACGTTTCGGGCCCTTTACAGGTCCCATGGTCACGGTCGATATGTAACGTTCTTAGGTTTTTCGCAATTATTAAATGAACGAAATGATACTATTTTTTCGGATTTAAATCGCGTAAATCTTCACAAAGTCACAAGTTCATTTACGGGGCAATGTAGACGCTTCTATAATAAGATTCCGGTTGATATCCAAATTTTGTCATTTACGAGGTATAGTGATACATTTTTGTTTACTGTACTTTATGCAGAGACTGGTAAGTAAGGGATTGCTGGACGAGTATGAGTTAAACAATCCCCGTTCCCGCCGAATCATGTATAGTGCTTTAGTAAGCACGCAGCTAAGTGATTTAGGTTCTTTGCGTAAAAAACTAAATTTAATCGGTCCGCTATTTAAAAGTTTTTAGGTTGTTTTACTGTCCACGATGGAATAAGCGTATTCTAGCGGTACCTTTCTTAGATCTCGAGCACTGCAGCTCCGAGTTAAGCTTTGATTGCACCCAGAAAATTCGTGAAGTAGTCAGAAGAGAAAAGTTTAGAATTAGAACGCAGATTCTTCACTAAAAATTAATTTAAATTGGTCATTTACTTACGTCATCATTCCATAGTAGCTGATTAATCATTTAAAAAGAGTGTAATAGGGTCATAAATTAAATAAAACTAAAAACGAATGTTTCAAAATAATATAAAACATCTTTATTGTCCTTACACTATTGCATAATTACATAATAAATTTCAAACTAACCTAGGGTGGGATCCTTTCTGGGCCTTTTTTAAGAAAAAAGAAATTAGCGTTCAATTTTCATTCAGTCTATAGGCAACACTGAATTCCAAACTATCGCAGTCTTATTTTAATTAATATCTACAAAAATATAATGTTCAACTTTATTTTATTTCAATTAAAACATTCTCTTCGAAAATTCCTTCTTGCCAAAACTTGCCAAAAAATAAGGTGTTCTTTAACAAAAATACACTAAAGTTTTGATATTGTTGGTAGGCATAAAAAGAACATTCTAATTTTGACATTTTTCGTACATATATATTTATATTTTTGAATAAATCTTTATTCTGTGTTTGTTACCATTTTGTCAACAAGGAATTTTGTGTATAGTAAATTAATTAATAGCAACAGCAAAAGAAAAGCATTTACTTTATTTACAATTTGTAAAAGCGGAAGGCTAACATGGTAACTCGAATTATGCGGAAAAATACGTATTGAGGAGCCGAAATCTCAAAACCTTATAGTCTATGATAATGTGTCCCTACTGAATAAAAAATATATGTGGTAGAATTTTGAAGGTTTCCCGATATAATTTACAAGTGGAAAATGAAGAAAACCGTTCAAAATACCTTTGCCTCTTTATGCTTGTCATTTTTCTTTTCTTATTCTACACGCGGTGCTTTACTAATAAAAAAAATCTTATTGTTTTTGAATCGAAAAAGGTTGAGTATTCGACATTTGCTCAGCCGCCAAACTTGTCAGCTGCAGAATCTGGTATTCTTAATTCCAAATTTGACTTTTTTATAAATAAAGCATGCGTTCTTAAGTTTTAAAATACAATAATTTATATTTAAAAAATACAAATGCATGATAGATATGTGCATTGGGAGAATAATTATCAGTCGATATTTAAACTAAATCTAGTGAGTATTGTTTCGTAATGGATGTAGACGGTGAAATTGATGAAAGATGAAAGCGATGTATTGTAAAGACTGGGATGAGTGGCAGTGATGTCATTATCTGAAAAAAAAAACAAAAATATTTTAATAAATCGATTTTTATAAATGCACTGAACTACATATCATAATGCCAATTCAAAGGTTAACAACTAGGATTTCGAGTATTGTCATATTTTAAATTACGAATTTGCACGACTGTCAACACGACGTCAAAGTCATTACTGTCATTTCAGTGTCACAGAGTATCTTGTCCTTGGGGGTTTTCAAAAAAGATCCTATTTTTATAATAATATGAGACGAAAATTAAAGTCCACCAAATATACATAGTATATTATATTGTAACAGCTTGCATAATAAAACAATGTGTACAACATTTGAGCCACGTAATTGCATAGCATTAAAAATGATAGTCCTATTTTAAGAACTTGAAAAATGTGCCTTGAACATCATTGACACATTGAACCAGGCGGTACAACATATTGCCTTAATAATGTAAGATAATACACAACTGAAGCTGACCGGCGCAAGCGCACATGTCGTCAGGTGGCTGTCTTTGCATATTTTCGCTTTTTATTTATACCTTAATATGCTCTAGTTAAAACTAAACAACTGTTGCGGTGAAATTTAATAATTATATGAAAAGTAAGTTTCATTCTTAACATTCTGATCATGTTGAAAACTATGTTTGGTGTTTATTCAAAAAAACAAAAAAATAATACAAATAATACTTGTTGAATATCACAGAGTATGGCTACCCTCTCTGTCTTTGCTGTAGTTGTAAGTAAAAGGAGCATCGAAAATAAAGACGATTAAAAAAACAATGAATAAGAACGCATTAAGCGGACATCGCAGGCGGCAATGCCTATGACGACTTGAACAATGAAAATTATAAAAAGTCATTTTTTGCGTAAAAAGTACCTCGCCGACCACCTAAATGTCTTAAAGCTTGTTCCGCATTTTATTGACAGGTCTTCAACAAAAATTTTCAGTTTTTTGCGAAATTTCTTTGCATGTAACTAAACATTCGCAAAAAAATGTTTTGTATTGTTTTCCTTTTTATTGTTTGCGCAAAAGATCATTGTTGCATCTAAACAATAGTTTTGTTTTGGTGCTTTAGTGTGAAGGTCTTTTTTAACACACAAAATGGTATGAAATTACAAGCTATTTGGTTTATTAAGAAGGGCTGGCTGGCCGTTTGCGATAGTTAATTTTATCGCTCCACAATTTACCCGTAAGTATCGAGTTAGCGCCTGGCTTTTTAGATAGATTTGTATAGAAAGTACACGCATAAAATACAATTACACGTAGATGGGACTCTTTAATGGCTTTTAATTGATATAGACGCATTTTAGATTTGATCTACTTTATCTGTAAATTTATTAGGTGTCTTGACTTTATATCATCGTTTATTCGTTATTATAATATAAATTTATACTAATCAGGTTTATCTGTCAAGTTGATGTCGAAATAACTATGGCGATATGCCGGACGAAGAATCTTGTTTTTAAACACTAGACGTCCAATTACAATATTCTGATAAAGACACTAATTATAATAGAAGCGCACAGTGTTTCATTGCATGTCTCGGGGCAAAAAACTAGGCTATGTTTGCCGCCATTTGCCCGCTGTCCCAGTACGCACCGGTCGCCACTGGTGCCTGTGCCTCTACTGGTCATCCTTGGCGAGGCAGGCTCCTCACACCTGTCATTGTTCAATTAAACCTCGCGACACATTGCCTTAAATAATTCTCAAATTGAACACTTGCTATCCGACTTTTTTAAATTTTCAGCCATCTTTGTAAATTGTGTGCTACCTACCGCTAGTCGATAACAGGTGGCGCTGTACGACGCGACTCGATTATTTTTTAATTTCAAACGGAGTTAGTTTCTTTAAATTTGTTTCGTCTAATAGGCTAATTTTATTCGACATATCGATATTAAGATTTTTAAAATTAAATATCGCGTTCTCTGTCGTCTCGTGATCGCTCGGATCGTCAACTAGAACACTTGTTACCAGGCGAGCAGAGGCCGTACAGAGTTCGACGTTTACGTTACGTACTCGGCCTTCTGAGAACCTCTGAGAACCGAGTGCCGGTGTAACTCTTGTGAAAAGGACTGGCAGGTTTCCGCAACCTGTTCAACAATTTAGTTACAGAAGTTAGTTAACAACGCTATTTAATTAACAGCTTTAATTCGAGTTTAAGCATTTTCTATTGTTGGCACGTACACAGTAAAATCAAGCAATAAATTGATGCAATGGAATGGAAGGAATACAATACCACCATCCACATCAAGTTTCCTATGGTTCATAGACCCAAAGCTATGCGCATTTCAAACGCTGAAGACGGAAAAGATCTACGCGGAAGTTAATAAATAATGCCTTCCTACTGTGATCAAGAAAAGCGAGTTATCTTCAGCTTATTACGGGGAGCCGAGGTACCAGGCTCGCAGCTCGCGAGAGAGGTGAACTTATGACGTAGCGTAGTTCCAATGTTGTTAGTACGGGTAGACTGTGTGGGCCGCATACTAGTGTGTGTGCGAAGCGCGTGTAGGCGCGTCACATCAAACGACAAGATTTTGGACAGGTTTTTCTTTAAATCATTCATTTGTTTTTCCATTACTCGAATTGTTCAATTTCTATTTTGTAGAGAGTTTTGTTATTTCAGTCGTGTCTAAAATTATACGTTGCATTTAAAGTGTTGTAATTAAGTTATTTTGTAAAAAGGGCCTCTAAATTCGGTTTTAATCGAACCACAAGGTTCACCGAGTAAAGCGTCTTTTTTCTAATTCGTAAGGTTGACGCTCTCGTGTTCACACGAGGGCACACCTCACACGCTCGCGTTGCTAAGAACTGCCTATGCGGAAACAACTTCGCTATTAACACGCGTTCCTTCGCTATGAGATACTGCCACTTATATATTATACACAAGTATACACAGTACAAGGAAAGCGTTTTCACACAAACGTGCACCCAAATACTAATAGTCATTTGAAATAGGAGCATGCGCTTGGAGTATGTAATTTTGCACTTGTAGTTCTGTTTTCCACATGTAAGGTTTCGCGGGTGTTGTAGTTTCAGATTTGTTCGTGAGCGGTTTCTATGTTTCGTGTACCAGGACGACAGAAATGCGAGGGAGTCATATTTTGATATAAACACGTGTATTGTTGCATGTCATCGTGGTTGGTTTTTGTTTGTGTGTGTTATCGTTGTGTTTCTTATCTATTCGCAGTGATGCGTAGAAAAACAAGCCATATGGCTGGCCGGTAAATGTGTTTTCAATGTAAAATGTGCTATTGAATTTAGAATTTGAACATTCTTTAAAAAATAAATGTTCGAATTTGAATTTTTTTTTCAGAGACGTCGTTGTTGACGCGCACGTGGGTGCCAGCCAGTGTTTCCTGTGATAAGGTGGATGCACTGAGCGAGTTGAGTGAACGCTCATCATCTCCTAGTAGCCGCGATCGTTGCAGTGGTGTCAATGACTTGATGGATGACGAATCCGTCGCGGACGAGATAGAAAAAATGTCTTCCGCAGCTGTAGATGGCGCTGGCGGTGTTAATTGCGAGAAATTGGCGTAAAACGCTGCGACAACGCCAGACAGAACGCGGAAAAATCTAAAACAATATCATTAAGAGCGGCAATAAGATCTCGCATTAGATAAACATGAAGGGTTATTATTTTGAGCAGATGGAAAATATGGCTAACGAATTAACAAAATGTGCGGCCATGGCAGATATGAAGTCGATAAGAAGTTCTCTCATTGAGTTAACATAACCCATAATTTTATAAAAGCAGGAGACTTGTTACATCACATGTAACATTATGTTTACGTTCTAAAAATACTTAACGAAATAAAATTTACAACTTGTTCCTGCTTGCCAAATATATAAAGCAACACGGATCTAAATTGCTCAATAGATACGTCAACCCGTCAGCGTATACCTTTCAACATAGTGTGTCATAATGATTTTGTGGAGATGTAAGGGATTTAGAATGTAACTGTGTGGTGTAGTGTACGAGAAGGCCAGGCGAATGCAGTTAGTGGGTCAAACATCGGGCCCAGACATTACATGGTGGTGCCAATCGGATAGTTGCATCAGAACTTGCGTAATTCTTGTTGCAACGTCCGCGTTTTTCTGTTACACGTATTTAGGGGATTAATTAAGATTTATGCAGATAAAATAAGCTTAATAGATCTACGTGTCAAGGTCTTTTGGTTGTTTTGATATTTGCCTAGTTTTGAACGTAGCCATTTCTGATTGGTTCTTTAGAAGTTTTCATTTCATTAAAATGTAGACAATTGAAATTTTTTATTTAAGAATGCGGATTCCCTTGTTCCATTTTTAAACGAAACGATTTAAAAATACAATTTAAAGAATGCAAATTCCAGTGCCTACCATTTGTTCCATTTTTAAATGAAACCAATTTCAAATGCAATATCGAACTATCTCTAAGAAACGTTGAAATCACAATTTAAAAAATTCAATTATTTCAAGTTTTCCCTTCGACTAAACTTTTCTATATCTATAGTGTTTGTCTAAATAAAATGTTTGTGTCCAAACAAAAAGAACCAGTTTGAAGTTTATTGACTCCGAATATTTTCGTCGAAGGATCCTATTCGTCCAGTAACGCCATTGGTGGAAATATCGTGAAATATGTTCTATGTTTTTTTTTCTAATAGACATTGTAGAGTTCAACGTAGCATAATGTAAAATCTGGTTTGTTTCGAGAAAAATTTGGAATTCTTCGCCGTTTTTAAACGTTTTGTTTCTAAGGACGACTGTATGGGTATGAACTTGAATTGACATTCCAAATATGATCTTTTTAATTTGTAATATATTTTATTTTTAATTTAGTTTTCTATTTGCTTTATTATAATAGTTTTCAGTCTTATTAAATACTTATATTTCAAATCCGAACATTGTCAATGTCGATTTATATAAATTTATATCAAAACATACGTGTTATATGACAGCGATGTGTTTACGTTGAAGACTAGACAGAAAAATATATTATTTTTAAATTATAATACAATGTATGTAAGGCTTCTTTATTTAAAATTTAAAATAAACTTTAGTGGGTCAAGAACGTTTATTTATATTAAATAGAGAATGGCAATATTAATTGGATACATCCGATTATTTTAAGAAACAGTAAATTGACGCCATTAAAAGCGCCATACGCACTACAAATTAGCAGTTGAACAATTTACATTTCGTGTTTTGCAGCAATAAGATGTCCTGTAAATTATTAATGTTCGTAATTTGGCACGTTCGTAAATAATGATTTTATTTGTTGCATAAATAATTCGCCACCTGCGGCATAGACTACGCCACTTAATTATTTAAGCATAAAAACCTTTAATTAGTCGGCCCAGCTGTCGTACGACCTTGTAGTGCACCTTTGTAATACGACATGCAGTGTTTTGCATCGAAAAAAGTGCACATTTCAAAAACTTCAATTCAGCAACTTTTTTAATAGGTGTGCCTGCCTGTATTGTTTTATCGCATGATCTCTCCTTTGTCATTAGTATTTTGCATAAATAATAATGTAAAACAAATGTCGTATCAGCTCAATAATTGACCGTCTTTTGTAATGGGCTCCATTATCACTGGCTTCTCGAATGACGATTATTTATTTCTTCCTTTATTGGCATGCCTGTTATGCGATCTAATTTAATTTATTATATTGCCTAACTGATCAACGGGTGCGTTTAAGAGAATTGTTGCCAGTAGTTCTGTTTTAAGATTGCGAATGTATATTTTATTTTAGAAACAAGTTACCTTAAAAACAACGTGCAGTGGCTTTATCACAATCAAATTACGCCACATTAAGTTACGACACACTTCGTCTGGCCATATTAAGTTACCGAAATAGCTGGTATGAGTTTAAATGGACTAACAAAGGAAGAACTCAACGTGCAAAGCATAATTTTATGAGCAAAAAATATGGTGGACCTAGGGATAGTGACCTATGATGACGCAATGCCGAAAACAGGCCACGCGGTGCAGCGGGCGGGGGCCCGAGGTCAAGGAGGTTCATCGCAAATTATTTCATTGCCCAACACTATGTAATTTCTTTGCGACGCGAAATATCATGAATCACCGATATCACAACGAACGTGGTGAAACATCTAACAACTAACTGAAACAAAAACAAATTAATTCTAATTATAAAAAAAATTGCTAATTCGCCAAGTAATTTTGAAAGGTCACGATCGTCTTTTCTTTCCGTCCAATAGACAAAATAAACGTTTCAATAATTTTGAAAATTTCCATTGGAAGTTCATAAATAAGATCGCCTTTTGTTTGTGTATGGAAATGTTTATATTTAAAGCCATTCATATGGGTATCTAATGTATCGGTAGGTGTGTGTTCCTACGTCAAAAAGCGAATATCATTTAAATATAATGAATGTTTAAAAATTAAATATTTTTCGATGTCATTCGAGGGAAGTCGGTATCGCGTCCGTGTCTATTTTCAACTCCTGATCGGGCGTTCGCCCGGTTGTTGAACTGGAATAATTCGGCAAACACAGGCACATTACGCGCTTGTTAATCTCGACGATATTTACGTTGCGAGCCCCGCATAAGATTATACAAAACACCTATCCGCGAACACGCTCAATTAAGTCTCGTTCAAAGTTTTCTTTCATTATTGTATGTCGCGATCCGGGCCATTATTTTTAATATACGCTTATTAAATCAGATAAGCCATATCCAATACCCTTAATAGACAGGTACGCCTTAAGCTTGCACAGTAGTTATAAGGCCTTGTCTTTTTTCGTTTTGGCAAATTGTGCGATACAGATAATCATTATTAATTACTGGAGGTCATATTAACAATACAAGTGAATACAGTGTAATCTGTACGCAAAACTGGACGCAAACATGCGGAGTTGGTGGCGCTTGTGTGCGTGCTTTCCACGGCTCTGTGTATGTGAGCGGTGGGCGTGTGTGCGGTCTCTCTGTGTGTACGTGGAAGCGCGCGATGAAATAAAATATGTCCGGTCAACGAACTCGCGGTCGGTGCCATAAAAATCGCGATACTGTCCGAATTTCGGACAGAAATCTGAACGACGTCATTAGCACCAAATTTGAAAAATTATTATCCTCTAAACCATATCCGAAATATAAAATACGTAATTTCAGCGTCTGATGATTACGGACTTTGAAGAATAGGAAGGATTACAGGTGTGTATTGAACTTTTATTATGCAGCGTGCAACTCCAGTGTCCGTGCCAGCTGGCCGCTTCAGTCCTCGCTTCCATTCATGTCGGAACCATAATTTGGTTTCACCACCTATTAAACTTTAAAATTAGGGTACATGGAGAAACTGTAAACATAGAAAAAAGAACGCGACATGTTTACGTAAACGTTGGCAATGTTCGATCAAAGCGTAAGTTCGATTTTTTAAATTCAAATTACAGCGATCTCCATGCACTTCGAAAAACGTTGAAAAATATCATAGAATATGATAATACTCACGTGTTTGAATTAGGAATCGTCAGTCCGGAACGTTGAGCTGCTACATTTTGAGGTGATCGCTGCGTTTTTCCGATAAGTGTACATTTCCGGATGACAGGCGCGCGGTCAGCTGATTTCCATGCAATAACCTTGCGGCGACGTCCCCTAGCTTTTTATTCATACTATTTACAGGTTGCGGCGAGTCGTTATTGATCAGTCAGCACGACGGTGCACTAAACCTCCTTTTTCTGCACGATGACGTCTCTTCCGGGCGTGTGCCAGTCAAAATCCTTCGTCTTCCGCAACACATCTTGGTTTAGTATACTTCTGTAGGGTCTAATCCGACCATTGTTAATATTGCCCAGTAGGATCTAGTACTTTGTCCATTTTTAAATTCTAATTAGAAAATACACACCGATGTCCAAATTTCGTGGTTTCCAGGATTAGTACTGGCCGGTAGGGTCGAGAGTTTTCACTTCCATTTTTGATTTTGTGAATATGAAATTGTTCTTAATAAAGACCAGTAGGGTCCAGAGTGTGGATATCCATAATCTTGTTGCACACACTAATGTAGCACTGTCGCGATGTAGCGGGAAAGTGGTTGAGCACAGTGATGTGGTCACGCTTGCGCCGTGGCGGGCAATGCGCGACGGAGCGCCTGCGCGCACTTATATGATAGAAGCGTTGACTCTTCCCGCCATCTTGCGGTGAGTGGACAGAACTGATGAAAAGAGTTTTCCGAAGGCTGTAAGGAATTTTCGCTGAAAATGAGGTCGGCGGTTTTCTAAGCGACCAACGGTACTGTCTTGTTGAGACTTGTATCTTGTGTCAAGTAGCGGAATTATGACCCGAATGGTAAAACAGTTAGTTTAAAAATAAACGCTTTGTCTTTCCAGGTGTTTAGGATTTATTTAAATCAGTTGGTTATATTTGTCTCAAAGAATAGCGTGTGTAGTTTTAGTTGAAACATTGTAACAAACATGTAGACTTGAAAAATTAAAAAATTAAACTTAAAAAGCAAAACTAACACCTAAAAAGCCAATAGCACCAGACCTCCTTGTGAAAGAGTTCGTCCAGGGAGTAAAGCCACCGTGCCTATTTCTGCCGCCAGGCAGTAATGTGAGCATTACTATGTTTTAATTTTCTAGGGTACAAGTGTAGGTGAAACTACAGACACAGTGCAGTGTCTCTTTGCAATCTTTGCGATTTAAAGCTTTAAATAGTGTCGCTTACCACCAGATCCTCATGACCTAGAATTAAAGAGTAATTTTTATGATATTAAAAGATGAGATGAACAAGTCGTGCTTCTGATGGTAAGCGACACGCCTGCCACTGCGCCCATCACACTGAGCCAGGCGGATGGCAAAGGAATCAAGAGCGTAGCGGGTTGCGGGTCATATCAAAGTTTTGATAACTACTAGCGTTGGTTATTTTTTTTTATATATCAAGTGACGGGACGAACAAGTCGTGCACCTGATGGTAAAGTATACGTCTGTCCATAACAGTTGCATTGCCACTCAAAGCTTTAAATCGCAAAGATCTGAGGCGCACTGCCACTGTGCTCGTCACCCTGAGATATAAATTGACAAGTCCCATGTGCCTGAAATTTCACCAGCACCCTTACTCTTTGAAACCGGAACATGGTTGGCTGCAGAAATAGGTAAGGTGGCATTACTGCCATGGACGAACCTTTTCACTAGGAGCTCTACTGCTACAAAAATTACTATATTTAAAAATAACTTATTTAGAAAAAGTCTATAACGTAGTATTTATCCAAGTAGGCATAGCACAAACACGTGAAATGTGTATTTGACTCAACAATCAACCGGTGCTTATGTCCATAAATCATACAAAAGACATCAATGTCGTACTAATTACGTAATTCGTTTAATATTCATAAAAAAAAAATTAAAAAGTGATTACTGTCAAGTCAGAGGCTGTGTGATTCACAGTCAATATTGACCGTTAAGCACTTTGGCATGGGTGTCGCAATACGTAACTAAAAAAAAATAAAACCAAGAGTTGAGGCGGCAAAGGCCCAATGAACATTTACTACCGAATCTTTTAATATCTGTAGAGCTTTCTATGAATGAGTTCGTCCGGGGAAGTACGCCCTTGAGAAGAACGAGCAAGAAACTCTAGCGATTGCTCTTGTCAAACTTAAATGCTGTGGAATTCTTGTGGATTCTGGAGCCGTGTCGTCTGTCCGTACATGTTTATCTAACACGTAGTCTTCTAATTTTGTATCATGACTTTTCAATTAAAGTACTTTTAAACTTAGGCAACATTGACTTACAAATAAATGGACGACGGGTCTAATACAAAAACCACGAAAAAAATGTCCCAAGTCAACCTATTTAAACGTAGTGACATGTAAAGGAATATGAAAAAGCTAAAACGTTGAATTTAAATTGTAATGTCATCGCAGTACTGTCTAATTTTGCTTGCTTCGCTGTCAGTCGAACAAACGAAGTCTAAAGCGTGAATGACGCTTTGTATACGATTTTAACGCCCTATAAGTTCGGACACTTTTTAGCGCGGACCCGACGTCCATATAATTGTAAGTCAATGTTAGGCAATGATAATTTTCTACTACGCCATGGGACACACTTACATGGGAAAAGAGCGTAAAGTATATGTATATACATAAGTGAACAAGATGTACATATTAATATATAGGTACGTACATCTTAATTTAGCAGCTAAAGAGCTCCTTGTGAAAGAGTTCGTCCAAACAAGTACTGTCACCTTACCTTTTTCCGCCACCACACAGCAATGTGAGCATAAATGCGTTCCGGTTTTGAAGACTTGTCAACTTATGCCTCAGGGTGACGAGCGCAGTGGCAGTGGCTCTACAAATCTTTGCGATTTAAAACTGTGAGTAGCATTTTCTTTGACTTTAAAAATCGGATTTTAATTTTTTTTTTATAATATCAAGTAACGGAACGAACAAGTCGTGCGTCTGATGGTACACGCTTGTCCATTATAATTGCAGTGCCACTCAGAGCTTTAAATCGCAAAGATATGAGACGTAAGTTGATAAGTCACATGTGCCTGTAATTCACTAGCACCCTTTCCCTTCAAAACCGGAACACAACAATGCTGACATTACTGTTTGGCGGCAGAAATAGGTAAGGTGGCAGTACTTCCCTGGACGAGCTCTTTCACAAGGAGCTCCACAGCTACTGAAACTTATTTTATTATTATCATTTTCTTTGACGAAACTCGAAGGGATTCAAGCGGATGTCAACACCTTCTAGTCGTGCGAGTTTTTTAACTACCCGCAGTTGGTCTTTATTATTTATGTGAGTACTAGGGTTGTCTTTTTAGAGCTCCTTGTGAAAGAGTTCGTCCAGGGTAGGACCCTACCTGTTTCTGCCGCCAAGCCGTAATGTGAGCATTATTGCATTCCGGTTTCGAAGGGTAAGGGTGCTCGTGACATTGCAGGCAGACTTGTCAACTTATGTCTCAGGGCGACGGGCGTAGTGGCAGTGCCCCTCAGATCTTTGCGATTTAAAGCTCTGAGTAGCACTGCAACTGTTATGCATAGGCGTGCAAAAAATTGCAACTAACTTTTTTTAAATATAAGTAAACCTTTATGTTTAAAATATTAATAAACATTCTGTGATTTTTTTCTTAAAACGTTTTAAAATAAAACAAATAATAAAAAAGAAAAAAAAGCTTAAAAATTCTACGAAGAAAAATTTGTCGATAACTATTTATGCTCTAATAAAATTCACATTGTATACGTCATTTGTTTCATGTTGTTCGTATTTTTTTTTCTTTCATGACTGCGATAAAAGCACTTTTGACGTATGGTAACATCCGGCCTTATTGTATCAAGGGTACGAAATTGGTCTATGTTCTCTAATGTCTGTTTAAACAAATTTACGAATATAACTTTTCTAAGTTGCTTTTGGTGTAGATATTTCAGGGTAGTGTCTCATCTCTTTAATTCTGCTATTCAGATACTCGTAGAACGTGGAATATCTGTTTCAAACCAAGTAATTAATGTGATTGTGTTTTTATTTAATATAGGTAAGGAATGCCCTTTGTCGTATAGTACGTTTCCTCTACATCGATATAATAACCGAGAAACCTATGCAACCGACGCCGTAGTAGAATGCGTTTAAAGTAGTGATGGGCGTTTGAAATATTAATATCGATTAAAATATCGATATTTTTGATTATAATTTTGAAACCTATACCAACAGCGAACTTATGTACGCATATCTGACAATGGTAAGCAGTAGAGCTCTTTGAGAAAGTCTTCGTCCAAGGAAATACTGCCAACTCACCTATTTCTACTGCCATTACTGCGTTTCGGTTTTGAAGGGTAAGGGTGCTGGTGAAATTACAGGCACGTGAGACTTGTTAACTTATGTCTCAGGATTGACAGGCGCAGTGGCAGTGTACCTCAGATCTTTGCAATTTAAACTAGCCCTAAGTTACTGAAAATAAACATTTTTTTTATTTTTTTATTTTATTTTATTTTTTTATTTTTTTTAATTTAAACTCCGAGTGGCACTGTAACTGTTATAAACAAGAAAACGTCATCACCAGGTCTTGTTCATCCCGTAACTTGGTATCATACAAAAAAAGTTTAAATGACCGTACAAATAATACTGTCCGGGACTGAATCACTTCACGTATTATGTACATTTTGATGTACTCTTAGGAGACTGAGTGTCGTATTCCAGAACTCTACTCAATACTCAAGTCAGGACTTGAGTATTGCAGTGAGCACTGAAAATCTTACTCAAGTCCTTGCGATTAAGGTCGTATTTCCAGTGCTTGAAATCATACTCAAGTCTGCTCAAGTCCTGACTTGAGCATTGAGTAGAGTTCTGGAATATGACCCTGAGATCACGTTCTGTCACTGAGTTCACATCAAATCAGAGTTAGGATCGTCATTTAACTCATATTCATTTTGTTAACCTTCAATGGTCAATAAAAATCGTTACTTTGCAATTCTGTAGTGATTCATCGTGTTTATATTACTTTGCTCACACCGCCAGTCCACGGTATTATTGTCAACTTAACTTATTATGGGAATGCACTTTTTCGTATTATAAGTTTTTTTCTACACCTAAACATGTATTCTCATGTGGGATAAAGCGGCAGATATACAAACCATACTTGTGTTGCAAAGACGAGGGAGTTTAACCAAGGTAAATGATTATTTTATGGAGAACTGTACACGTTTTTACAATAAGATTCCGGAGCATATATTACGATTATCATTTCCTAAATTTAAAACTTACATTAAAAGTATTTTAATTAAAAAGTCACATTGCAAAATTGAAGACTACGTGTTAGATAAAGATGTATGGAAATATGGCATGGGTCTAGGTTCCACACAAATTTCATTCAAAGCGTATTCCATAGCATTTAAGTTTATTTGAAAAGAGCAATTAGAGCTCTTGCTCGTTTTTCTCCGGGAAGTCAGCACAGTGAATGGGCAGTAGCTTAAAAAATGACGTTATCAAGTATACATTTATTTTACCACTGGAATAAATGATACTTTGACTTTGACAGGGTTATTTGTAACACTAACCACCTTGCAGGATCATATTACTCACATCATGAACGACAATTTTTGTTCTATGGCTTTTCACAAAACATAATTATATTTACT